AAACTCCGTCTCTGTCCACCTGAAAATAAGTATACTTAAAAAAACCACTTGTTTTTGAAGGTTTAGTGTGCTATTTTGAGTGTGATTTGGCTAGACCCAGCTTGCTCCCAGCACCCGCTCTTCCCTGATGTGTACGTGTGGCGGGATTGAAAATGCATTGAACGGTCTGCCTCCTTCTGAGTGTGGGGAGGCCAGGACAGATGGCCCTGGACACAGCCAGCCCAGGCTGGCTGCCCAGGAGATCAGGACGTTCAGGCTGGAGTGATGCAGGAGCGTTTGTGCCAGGCATGCCTCTGGCTTCGATTTCCAAAGTTCTGAGAGCTTTGGGCATTGGGAGATTTTAACTTATTTTCAGAGATTCTTCATCCTCTCAGATTATTTTTCATAGAAGACACATTTAAATCAAAATATATTTTTTAGTCTTTATCTCTTCTGATCCTTGACTTCTTGGGCCTCATTTGTTTGTGCCAATGGCAGGTTGAACAGGCAACCTTCGCTCTATTTATTTTTTTTCCTCTCGGGCCTGCCCTGAGTCTCTGTGTGAACCAGCCAGGGTGCCCTGCCAGGCAATTATTAACAACAGAGTCGAGAGAGAAGTAGTCAAACACACAGGCTTCCAGGGGCAGGGTGAACACAGCTGCTAAGGGATGCCGCCGTGAGCACCTCTGTCTCCTCCCTATCCCAATCTCTTGCACCTTCCAGAGGCCCTGACTCCATTAAGGCAGGTGGACCCACAGGGCACACTGTAAGAATCGGGGTCGCTCTCAAATTAAAGCTGGTCAAAATCAACACAAGACATCAGCAGCCAGCTGTGAAGCTGACTTACTCCTAGAACGCGTGGCAATTGTTTCTAGTGAAACTAGAGCTTCTGAATTCTATCTTGTCACGAGCATCACAGGAGACACAGCAGGTCAAGGGCGGCATCCGGAGGGGAAGGGCTGGAGGAGCAGCTGGGGCAGGCGTCACACTTAGAGAGGGCCTGGGATCCAGCCTTTCAACATGACCTCCAAACAAAGTTGCTCCCACAGCCACAGCGATCACTCCCAGGGTTGGAAAAGGAGGCTGCTCACTATTCACCTTTGAGTTTCACATTTGCGTCTCATTGCCAGACCA